TAAAAACCATGATAGCTACCTACGTGTCCGACAATCACCGCGCCTGGGATGTTAACTTGGCGAAACTCGCCTGCGCTACTGGTACCGCTTTTCATGAGTCAACTAGTAAAGATCCCTACTACACCAACTTTGGTAGAAAAATGATCTTAGATGGTCGCGATTTTCAATTGAGAGAGAAAAAGTTAGAAGCAAATGACGAGAAGGTGCGTGAAGATGATGTTGAGCTAAGGTCTAGAAGGTTAAAAGAGGTGTTTGTTGATGTGAGGAAGCGTCTAGATAAGGCCTCGGGTAGGAACGAGAAAACCTACAATTTGCGTCGGCGCCATGAGGAGTTTTTGCCTCAGCAAGCCGTGTGGAGGAGAAATTTTGCGCTTTCTAACGCTGGCGAATATTTTGCAAAGAAACTTGCACCAAGGTGGATCGGACCTTATCTTGTTCGGAAACGGGTTGGGTACTGCACGTATCAATTAGTGGACGACCAAGGTAAAGATCAGGGTACGTGGAATATTAAAGACCTCAAAATCGCGGAGGGCGTTGATCGCGGTATTTAGTACGCCAGTCGCGATTTTCCTTCAAAGTACCGTAACTAGGTTTTAACACGCACCAATATCGGATTTTGGGTGTTTTTTTTGGTTGGAGATAGCCGGTTGTGAGTCTAATGTCTCTTCATTGTTAATATATAGTCCCTTGATTGTTATTTTTTTAAGGCCCGGGTGCACTATGGGTGCGTTGGAGGTTCGGGGTGACTGCATAAATTGCAAGTACGTATCCAGGGTAAGGCGTTGGGGGGTTTCGGTATGATGGCGGGAATGTTTCTACGGGATGCCCGCGCTTGTACGTCCAAGGTGGTGCCGAGGCTACTGCGTCCTTGCCAACATGGATCACCTATGTCACCCTGAAGACTATAAATTCAGTGTGGTGCCTCTGGTGAACCATTCATTTTTTGTCCCTTTTTACTTTTAGTATGTCCGCTTTAGTCTAGCAGAACTATATCTGCTGGGGGGCGACTCGACGCTTGCCTGGTAAACCCAGCACCGATACGGATTTCTGGTACGCCTAAAGATATAAAATTTTTTTAATACTACGTTTTGGTTTCTTTTCGAGTGGGTGATTGTGGGTAGTCGGACGGTTACTTTTGGTCCTGTGTCGATGTCTGGAGACACTTTGGTGTGGTATGGTGTGTGGTTAGGGAGAAAGTCCACGACGCGATTTATCATCTCTCGCGAGGATCCTCCCTAAGGCACCCTTGTTGTGTCCGGATTTCTGCCCAGCGCTGAGAGCGATTGAATGTCTCCCACCGGAGCCTTTTTACTTGGTATATGTGCCTTCTGCCATATATGTGATCGTAATGTAAGACGAGGGTCTTAGCATACGTTGGTACTAAGGTAGCAAGTATCCACCTTGAGTATTTTTTTGTTAGGCGGATACTAAATTTTTTGTGCCATCTCCGTCTGGGAGGATTAGTCTCCGTTTTCTCTATCACTGTGAGGGCATTTGGTTTGGTGCCTGTGATTTTTGGAACATTATCAGTGGTTGAGTTTTGTTCGGCCACCATTACCTTGCAGCAACCTCGTGTTGGATTTTTGAGTTGGATAGCTGGCCCCTTTGGAAAACACCTTGGCCATAACCGCCGTTCACGTTTATTGGACCCTTTTTGTAGTTAAAAATGGTAAGTTTTTGCAAAAACCTTTTTTTTATATCATTTTCTCTAGTCGTTGAAGGGTATATAACTTCTTTGTTAATATTATGGGTGCTATTTGGGTTCAACTCATTATTGAGTAAGTTTATTTTGTTTTATTATCTCAAACATTTGTATAGTAAGTTTTATTTTACTATTAGATAGTATATTTTAAATTAAAAGGGTGGGTGCAGTTAATGGTATTTTTTTTAAATAACTTTTTGCAAGGAATAGCTTAGTGAGGCCTTAATCGGTTTTATTGGCTATTTCAGGTTTTCTTGGAGGGGGTGTAGAAGACCCCGTTTGCATACGTTTCTTGGAGGGGGCATAGAGAACCCTATTTGTATACGTTTCTTGGAGGGGTATAGGAAACAACATATGGAATTGGAACATTTGGTGCATATGGAGATTTGGATCACCTGTGGTTTTTGAAGGGCTGAGCAGCCCGAATCAACTAGTGTGGTAGTGCTGTTCAACAAGATGGTTGACTACAGTTACAAAGAAGCCATGATTCAGCTAAGCCTGTCATATTTATTTAAGTGATTTGTTTATATAATCGCACACCGATTTTCTTTCTATTAATGTATATAAGTATTTCTTCTTTAATTGGGAAAAGTATCGCACAATTTATTAATTTAATTTCAGGGATTTTGTTAAATTGTTTGGGGTAGATTTACTGTATAAATGGGGGTATACCGAAGGCCTACTTGGCATTAATGGTCCATTTTACTTTTATATATATTTAGATGTAAGGCGGAAATTAAGGTTACTCTTATTTTTATTTCTCTAACGTCGATGATTAATTTTTACCCGTCGTTTTTGGTACCAAAACCGCCGTGCGTTATTCATTTTTAAAGTACTTTTATTTATTTAATCCCCGCTTAGGTACTTAATGTGTAAGTACTAGTGTTTCGGTAATTTTTATTATATTTTGGATTAATCTCCGCTTAGGTACTTAATGTGTTAGTACTAGTGTTTCGATAATTTTTATTATACTTTGGATTTGTGCGCTACCCAAATAATGTGAGTGATAATTTGTTTTTACCTAAATCCTATTTAAATCACACGTTGCTTGTTGTAGTTCTTTCTCTCAATAAAAAAATATATCGGTGTGTATTGGAAATATTGTCTTTGATTTACCCAGTTTAGCCGTTTAAGAGGTAAGTCGATTTTGGATTCTGGAAGAAGATATAACGCTCAATTAATTCGATCATTTTTAAACTCACTCCCATCTCCACTACAGAGTGAAGCTGAAGGCAGAAAGGTTGAGATCGACAATCCAGTACACTATAACCCCGGTTTTTACTTTCCTATCTGTATACAGATATAATTACTTTCCTATCTGTATACAGATATAAGGAAAGTATAGGAATCATGATTTTTTTCGACCTCGAGTTTTCGACGGATTTTTACGTTTTGAGGTCCCCTGAATCCGTTTTGACTATTTTTGCGATGATGTGTGTGTGTGTGTGTGTGTGTGTGTGTGTGTGTGTGTGTGTGTGTGTGTGTGTGTGTGTGTGTGTGTGTGTGTGTGTGTGTGTGTGTGTGTGTGTGTGTGTGTGTGTGTGTGTGTGTGTGTGTGTGTGTGTGTGTGTGTGTGTGTGTGTGTGTGTGTGTGTGTGTGTGTGTGTGTGTGTGTGTGTGTGTGTGTGTGTGTGTGTGTGTGTGTGTGTGTGTGTGTGTGTGTGTGTGTGTGTGTGTGTGTGTGTGTGTGTGTGTGTGTGTGTGTGTGTGTGTGTGTGTGTGTGTGTGTGTGTGTGTGTGTGTGTGTGTGTGTGTGTGGTGCGTGCGTGCGTGCGTGCGTGCGTGCGTGCGTGCGTGTGTGTGTGTGTGTGTGTGTGTGTGTGTCTCTATAACGCATAACTCATGAACCGATACACAGAAAAACACTAAATTTTAAAATTAAGCTTTGTTTCAGCGTCCAATGAGCTGATTAGATTTTGGGCAGAGTCGGAACATCTGGGGGGGTACTTTATAGGTGGTCATTTTTATATTTTATGGAATATATCTGTTATTTACGTTTGGAGAAGAAAATTCTTCAAATAAAAGTTACTTCTAATATAATTATCTATAATTTATGTTTTATGCAAAATTTTCCTAAAATAGTCCGTATTCGAGAAATTTGACAAAATGTGCAAAATTCTGATTTTTATGAAAATTGTTGAACTAAAAGTTTGCGATATCGATCTCTATAATTTTTGTTTATACATGATTTTTCTAAAATGGACCGTAATGGAAAAGTGCTAAATTTAAATTTTTCAGTATTTTCGTTTTCAATGAATATCTATAGAAAAATGTTTCGAGGTAGATGTAATGTAGACAATGTATATATTTAGTTTATCCTCTAAACATTTATAGAGATGCATAGGTTGTACAAAATAACCGGAAAAAGCCTATAATAACTAGATAGGAAAGTCATGTGTTGGACACATCAGATTTTTGAGGTTATAGTACCCTTAAACCAAAATACCGTATCCTATGAAATAGCTGAAAAATAATTGAACAATATAATAACAATTCGGAAATGGTAATAGAATCCTGAGAAACATTGCCGATTTAACTGATTGTGTAGATAATAACCAATAACATCAAGAATCTGGGACAGTTACGGCTTGTGACCAAAATATTGATTGTTTACAATGTCAGAATATATTATGTAGATCTCAGTACAGATTTAGGTAAAAAGCTTTCAGTGCTTATAATATTACCTTTCTAAAACACTGAAAGTTTTTTTACCTAAATCTGTAATGAGATCTATATTCTGCCATTGTAAGGAAAGGTAATTATTTTATGTATATTTTTCGTACTCAGATGTATTTTTTAACATTGATATTATTTTTTTTTATATTCGTTAAATTATGTTAAGTGATTAAAAGGGAAACGACCTATAAATATGCAACCAAGTTTTCATAATAATGTATTTCTGGTGAAATGCATCAGTAAAACCGTATCAAAATGGGTGCCTCTATGTTAAATAGATCACGTGTCTATATACTAGCAGTGGGGATAGAAACAGTAATGTATTTAAAAAAAATTAAGCCCATTAATAATTATACATAAACTTAATTAAATTCTTTTGAACTAAGGGTCAGTCTTTTCACCTCTGAGTAAATTTGAAAGTATCTACTTGCTGATTAAACTATAGGGCTATTGTGTGTTAATCGAGAGAATGTAAACCGACATGTAACTTTACTCAGAGGTGAAAAGATCGGTCCTTAGTTTGGTGCTACATAATATTGTGAAGGTTGACTCAATAAATATTCATTAAATACATTGTTTCAAAATAAACAATGTTCATAATTTATTATTTTAAAATATTCACCTGTGTGTATGGGATATTTTCCAGTGAGGAAAGCAGCTCTTGATGGCGTACATAGTGCTTGAGTGTAATGCGTATTTAATATTACTCCATTATAGGCTAAAGCATCTATATTAGGAGTTGGAATTTCATCACTGCCATGGAATCCTACATCATTGAAGCCCTAAAAAAATTAAATAATTACTTTTGGTATTTAAAATATTTACATAAAGAGGATTGACTATCATTTCGTGGTAATTTGAGGATTTTAGTTAAATTCGTTGTAGAAATAAATGATTTTGGTAGGTTCTCAAATTAGCTGACAGTTGAAAGTATGAGCTATAAGTTGTGAAACAATTTAAATTCCGAAAATAAACTGAAACTTTAACATTTTTGCACAAGCCATTTGTTTTATCATTTTTTGCTCTTTACCATTTTTTACTCCTAATGCCGTCTCTGTAATTTCTAGATTCAACTAAAGAATATTACGTTACCCTTTCTCGCTGTAAAATATTTAGCCTACAAACACCAATATATTATCTCAGGTGAGTTTTAACTCGACGATTATTGGTTAAAACTAACAAACAGGGATAGTGACGTAAACCGACTCGATCAGCTACCTTCCATTTTTCCGCATTTAAAACAAAGATTTCTCACCAGACTGAAGAGAGAAAACATGTTGGCATTTAATATTAACTCCCAAACAGTGGCGGCTTGTTATAATTTAAAATGGGTTTTCAATTCCAATAATTTTAGCTTTTGTAAGTTCTGTTTAAAACTTTGTACCAGTGCCAATAATGCTGTTTTTTGATTAGGGTTCGTATTAATAATAATTGTGTTATCAATATCATACTGTTTTCAAACACTACAACTATCAGCTAACTTTTATCATTTATTAAAGGTCAATTGTTCTGGTATACACGTGTTAATTGTGCTCCGTCAAATTGTGAATTTTATAAGAGGCAAACTGTGAGTACTGCAAATATATTTATATCAATAGATTCAGAAAAAAATCTTGTCTCGAACGTAATAGTCAATAAGTATACAAGTTATTACACAATATCACAAATCGTTAATCTTACAAATTTTACAACGATAAATCCAAAAAACCACTGAACATATCTTGACAATCAAGAAGCAAAAACCATTTAACCAATAATTTTATTTAGTCCATGGGCTTACATATTTAGTAATGCCTGAAATAACAAAGGAAGATATTCTACAAATGTTTAATGAAATTCAAAAACAAAACCAGCAAAACAAAAGTAGATAGTTTTTAGCAGTGAGTTTTGTGCATTTAAACTAACAATACAACAAAAACTAGATGATCTAAAGAAAGAAAACAACGAGCTGCAATCAGAAATCACAAATTTAAAAAATCGCTTAATAGCTAGCAAGAAAAAAGCTAAAAAGTACAACTTGATAATATATAACTTAGATGTTTCACGAAAAGCTGAATATCAACTATGATGAAATGGATCTACGTGATGCGTTTAGACTAAACTCCGGAGGAAATACTAATAAACCTAAACCTGTTATTATTGAATGTTTGACATCTAAACTTAAATCCGAAATCCTTAGTCAAGCGAAACTGTTAAAAGGCACTGGTATTTTTATATCTTTGGATTATACTAAGGAGGACTATGAAACGAAGAAAATTATCTTTAAGCACCAGAAATTAGTACGCTCACAAGGCCGCTCGGCACAAATAAAAGGAAACACACTGATTATTGAGGGAGTTACCTATAAAGTTGACGATTTACTAGAGGCTTCCAATCCTAGTAGCCTTGGAGAATCTCATCGTAGCAGACAAAATAGCACATCATCAATTGGCAGTTCTTCGAGAAATACAAATAGAGTTCTTAGATCACAACATCCTAATCTTAAATACTTTCGATATATAAACTTTTCTTTTTATGTGTTAAATTATGAGTTGCCGAATATATAGGAAAATCTTATTTGTTATTTTGATCTCGGCCCACGTGTTTTATACTTTAGGTATACGAAGTTCCGACGTGACACATGACACGACATATCGTCCCAACGACAGTTCATCCCAGCGATAACTCATACCTTAGAAAAAAAAAATGACAAATCATCCCACGACAACTCATCCCTCGACGATGCATCCCTCTGGCAATTCATCCCACGACAACTCATCCCACAAATATTCTAAAAATCTGATTCTCTTATAAATACAAAGTTTTATGCTGTTTTTAATAATATTACTGAAAATAAATACACAGAGTTTAGATTTTAGATCGTTTATTAATAATATTGTTGACAATAAATACACAGAGTCGTGGTAAGCTTCGAGGCCGTTGCTCTCCCAAAAGATTTGTTTACTGTTATGATTATAATTCATTAATGAGAAAAATTTTTATTTGTTATATATTATATATAAACATGGATAATGAAGAAAGATTTAAATTTGTGTGGAACCGAGAGAGTATTATTGCTTTAATAGAGCTATATCGAACATATTCTGTGCTTTACAAGACTAACGATCCTCAGTACCATACCAAAACTAAAAGGCAAGAAGCTCTGGAGTCAATCCGAATGGAATTAAATGAATTGAGTGAGTTTATATCTAGGCAGTGTCTTGAAATAAATGACATTAAAGTTAAAATACATACTCTCAGAACCCAGTTCTTTAAAGAATATAATAAATCAAAGAACACATCAAGTGGAGCAGGGACTAGTGAAGTAATAAAACCAAAGCTGTGGTGTTTTGACTTATTAAAGTTTCTGGTGGAAAGCGAGACATTGACACAAAGTGTGTCTAATTTAGAAGTAATTAACACATTTTTTATTTGTCTTTTCTAATGTGACATCTGGCAAATATACAATCTTGTTGTTAGGAATCTCAGTTCGAGCAAAGTACCCAAAGCCAAATAGAGATTGAGTATGAAGATGGGACAGTATACGAAGGAGGTATTGAAGATTTATCTCAGAATGTAACTGGTGAAACAAATAAATCTCAAGTGTCTGAAACAATTAAAATAATTAATGGACCTGGGCCGACGGAAGAAACCCCAAAACATGAAAAAACTTCTATTCATAAAGAAGTTGCCAGGTTTATTAGTAAAGCTACAACTATGCTGTCAGAGAAAAAAGAAAATGTAGCTCCATCAGATGATATTTAAGCTTTTAGCAGGTATGATGACTATTTAGATTTCATTAAATTACTTTAAAATGTTTTTAGGACCATTGCACATGAGCTAAGAAAAATTAAAAAAACTCAGATCCTAAGGGGAATTAAAAGAAAAATATTTTCAGATATTATGGATGCACAGGATGCAGACAATTAAGGGAATTTAAAGGTGAATTAAGGCAAATGTAGATTGTTTAATCAATATAATTTTATAAATGAATATTTGTATTTTTCTTTTCAACAGGTAGGTACCTTCAATAGGGGGAAAATAAATAAAAAAATTAAAAATAATTTTCAATTTTAATTAAGATTAAAATTAGTTTCACAACATAAGTATCTTGCAAAGTTGGAACAACAATTTATAATATGCGAAGTTAAATCATTTTGCCATTGTACAGCTCCATTTGTATTCACATAATCCATGAATTCCATTCTGTTTCTTAAGGCTGCTACACCAGCTCTATTGCCTTGCTGTCGAGATACATTTTGCCTTATTGTAAACCTTCTGTCAATGTTATCTTCATTTACAGAGTAAGTCTTTGGACACTTTGTTCTTAAAAAATAGTCATAGTCATAGTCGACTAAGGCCATTAAAACAACGCTATGAGTTCCTTTGTAGTTAAAATATTTTGAACCCTCTTTACGAGGTGCTCGAAAGACAATATGTTTTCCGTCTAAAGCCCCCAAAACATTAGGGAAGTTCCATTTGTCTTCAAAACCTTTTGCAATATGTAACCACTGTTCAGTTTCACACGGAATCTGCAACACAAATGGCATTTATCTAACCATATACTATATATATAGTCGATCTAATTAGCAAAAACAATTTCTTTACAACTAGTGTGATTTTATATTCTTTATACTTTTTTTGATAATAGTAAATATACAGATCATTTATAGTAGAAATTACAACTATTTCTAAAATCAATCATAAAGTTCATATCAACTCAACAATCAACACAAAATAAACCAAAAAGTTGAAGTACGACTTTTGCTCACTAGACCAATGACACAAGTTTTTTTGTAATGTAAAAAATATAATAATGTAGGTAAAAACTATTAAATAATCATGTTGCAAATGTTTGTTAATCACTGAGCATACTTCAAAAACAATGGTAGATATGGTTGAAATTCCAATTCGAAATGAATAGTGTAAACTTGTCATGGATTCCCCTGTAGCCAAGTCTAGTTCATTATTTACTAGGTGTAAATTACCCTTATTTCTTGTTTGCATCCATGGTTTAACCCACCACTTTCTTGTTGGAAGTAAGAAAACACTGGCTACCACCGCCACTGATAAAACCAATATGCTCTCATCATCCATTAAAATGTTTATCGAAAATCGAGATTTGAAAATTTGACAAAATGGAAAACGGTGAAAACGATATATCAGTCAAAATACAGTGATCCAGTGCTGACAATTGACAATATTTGGATTGAAAAATTACTATGTTGTATGAAAACGTACGCATCTCGAAAAATAATGCATGTATATGAACAAATCGAGCTTTTCACCCACAGTCATTTCTAAAAGGCATGAAATGGAAAAACTATGCAACCAGTTGCAGGCTTCAACACTCGTAAGTCTGAAAACTGCTTTATTCTAATTTCATCGTCTCAGCGCTAAACACGACTTCCTTTTTTACAGTAGGTGAAGCCTGAAGCCTGTCATATCTTATTAGCTAAACTAATTTGGCGTATCCCAACGTACGAAAAATTTAAATCGATATTCATTATATAAATTTTACTGTTCTCAGAATTATTATTTCTTTCCGTGAACATATGAAAAATTTAAAAAAAAATACCGAATACCATTTATTCATGTGTAAAGTGCCTTTCTAATGAGAGATTGTAAGTAGTTACACACTTAAAAATTAAGCTTAAAACGCTATTTTTAGTTTTCGGCTAGGGCTGGGCGATTATCAAGGGTAATATACCAAGACCTTGATAATAGTCAGCTATTTTTGTTGAATCTATATCTCGAGAATATTTTAATATCAATTTGATGAAACCTAATTTTTGGCATTTATAATGTGATTGGAGCCCGAGAGCTTTAGCTCGAGGGCTTTAATCAATTGATTATTAATGCCAAAATTATGTAGAATCAAATTGTAAAATGTTCGAGAAATTTAGCAAACAAACAAACAAAAATAGCAGAATATTAATTGTGTTATATCTGGGACGATTATTTCACTAGAGAAATAGTCGCTGATATTTGGTCTAGGGTGATTGTCAAAATAAATAATCGAATATTTAAAATAATCGATGACTCGATTATTTTCTTTTAATCAATTGTATTCGATTAATCGAGAGATTGGTCATTTTCCATTAATCAGTTATTTTAAAATAATCAATTGCAAATCGATTATTTTCGATTAACTGATTATTTCCGATTAATTGGATTACCGATTATTATTTTTATCGACATATCAATATTATTAATTGATCTTTAATCTTTAGTTCGGTTTTTATTAATTTATCGATAATTAGTTATTATTTAATTCAGTTATAAATTAATAAAGTAATAAAAGATCGTTTTATAATATTTATTCTTTGATAGAACCGGACGATAGTCAAAATAAAAAATCGATTATGGATTATTTAGAAAAAATCGATTATATTTAATATATCGATTATTTAATTAATCGATTATCGATTTTTCTAAAAAAAAATATTTGAATAATCGATTACTAATTGAGGAAAATTACATTAGGTATAGATATTAAAAAAAAAAATTCATAAATAACTTACCAAATCATCTGCCATAATTACGATGATATTCGGCTTCTGAGTATCCATTAAACCAACACCGAAAAGTAGATGAATCATGCACCACCTCAACACCATTTTTCTTAATTTAATTTCTTTTGTTCACACTTCCTCACCGCTAGTTATTTTTACTTAAAAAAGGACCGCTTATATCTGGTATTGATTGATGTTTATCGCTTTTTCGGAAGAACAATGACGTAAGTAAAAATTAATCGCAAATTAACGTTTGGAAATAATCGATGGGAACTTCGAGAAAGCCAAATTAATTCTAGTTTTAGCTAGTACTAGTTATTTTATACTTTTTAAAATAATTTAAGACTTATAGGTCTTAAAAGTGAAAATTTGCACTTGCGTCATTGTTCTTTTGGAGAAGCGATATTTGGGAATAGCAGTATTGGAGGTATACAAAATTTTAGAATGTAATAGTAGTTGGAAGGGATGTTTTTGTTTTTAAAAAGGATTTTCGATGAATAATTAATAATTTATTATTGATTGTCAGCGGGGATAAGAAATATCAAAGAGGAATTTATGTAAAAAGTCAGATAGGAAAATATAAAATATTGGATTCATTTCTATTCAAAATAAGATTATTATATTAGAATAGTGAAGGATTGATAATTGGAAGATTATAATAAAGAAAAATATATAGAAGTAAAAGGTAAAGGAAATTTTATTTAAAAATATAAATAAGATAGCAGGAGTTAGTAAAGGTCTCAGATAAGCATAGACAGTTAAAGGAAAGCATACAGATACAGATTAGAAAACATACAGTTAGAGACATGGAGTAATCAGATACAGACAAAGACAGGAAAAGGCGGACACGCAGCGGCAGGACAAAAGCAACAGCAGTAGCAGGACGAACGCAGCAGTAGGACAAAAGCAGCAGCGAATAAAGAAGAAATATTAAAAAAAATATTTCTTTACTAAATTTATAATATCTTTAAGATTTGTTTAAACCCACCCCAATATTGAGATTTTCGTTGACTGGCATCAGAGATAGCATAAGGAGGTTTCCATATAAGTGTTATAAAATACGCATAACTGGTTCTGCGTGTTTTAATATACCTGTTTTTTTGTTAACTTTTAAATTTCTAATTTTATTGTATCCAATTCTGCATCAAATACAGGATATTTTAAAACATTTATTTTAGAATTTCAAAGTATTCTATCTAATTCTGTATCGAATCACCATGCATTTTCTAATTTTATTGTATCCAATTCTGCATCAAATACAGGATATTTTAAAACATTTATTTTAGAATTTCAAAGTATTCTATCTAATTCTGTATCGAATCACCATGCATTTTTAATTCATGGTACTTAATTCACATTCATTAAGTTTTAAATTTTAGTGCAAAATTTTCTTACCGAATACCACACGTTCCTAAATTTTCTGTAATATTTTGAACACTAGTGAGTATTTATACGTGAGAAAACCGCTATTTAATTAGTCCGTTTATTTATTATTGTAATTGTAAATAAACGTCTTTAATATGATCGGTCGATTATATTTTATAATTAGTGCAGTCACAATTTGTTAAAATTTAAAAAATTATTTAGTTACGCAACAAACACTTTTAAATTTTCGTGGACGGAAATTGAATGGGGTGTGGATTCTTTTTTAAAAAATCTAATATTTTATTGTTATTTAGTGGTGTTTTTTAATTTTTATTTTCGAACTTTATTCTGGTGTGAGTTTTTATAGAATCGATAGTTTGGTTTTTTTTTAAAAGACGAGCTACAAAACAGCAAAGAAAAATCATATAATGATTTCCATCAAATTTCAAATGAATTAATTTTTATTTGAATTATAAAGTGAAATATTATTTTAAACATTTTGGGTTAGGATACAGCCTCCGAGCTGAATTTAAATCACACTTTCTTTATATCCCGAAATTTTTTGAAATTTTGGCAAGCCTAGAGCGAGCCGTAAAAGTTTTTGTGATACAATTCTCTATAATTTTGTTTCTTACATAATTTCACTAAAACGGAACTTATTTGAGATATTTAAGAAAAAGTGTAAATTTCGAATTCTAAAGAAAACTCAAAAACGGACAAAGAAAAAAGCAATAAATTTTAAACTTAAGCTCTATTCCGGTCTAAGGTGAACTTATTGGATTTTTGAACAGAGTCGGAACATCTGGGGGGTACTTTAAAGAGGGTAGTTTTTATATTTTATGGAATATATTAGTTATGTTTGTTTGGAGAAGAAAATTGTTTATATAAAAGTTACTTCTTATATTCAAAATGTAAAATATTCTGATTTTTATAAAAATTGTTAAACTAAAAGATTTTTGCGATATCGATCTCTATAATTTTTGTCTCTAAAATGGACCGTAATCGAACAATTGGAGGAAAAGTATAAAATTTAAATTTTTTAGCATTTTTGTTGGCAATTAGTGTATATAGAAAAATGTTTTGAGTTAGATGTATGTGGAAAATGTATATATTAAGTTAACCTCTAAATATTTACAGAGATGCTACAATAGGTTGTACAAAATAAGCGAAAAAAGCCTCTAATAACTAAATAAGAAAGTCATGTGTTTTTTTGATTAATTTATCTATTTTTCATTTAATATTTTTTATTTATTATTATTCATTTATTAATAAGGAAACGTTTTATAACGTTACTGGAGGAATATTGAAATCTTCTCTAAACTTATGTTTCTAACTTTATAACATAATTAAGGAACAATAAAACTTTTAAGGAAATATTAAATACAACAAAAATAAAATATTCCATGTCATAGTAAAAAATTCATAGGGTATATTTTTTCAGTTTAAATAAAGATAAATCTTGTGAAATAAAGGAATGATCGAACCTCTAATGTTCGGAAATTTTTCTGTTAGTTCTTATCACTTACTAAACACTAACTAAAATCTTTTACGTGATACTTTTCTGAAACTGAAATTTTCTCAATGGTTTGGAATAATAATTGACTCAGAAATAAGGAACTTACTAGCAGTAACCAGGAATTTACGATCAGGAATGTATAAACAGGAACTTATATTATTGAAATTTGCTTTTCTAATAGTGAAAATCGGAATTTTTATATTTTCTACTTAAAATGTATTGAGTTTCTTTCATTCGGCTTGCGGGACCAAAATAAAGCGGTGTAGATTCTTGAAATTAAAAACTACCAATCCACGACCTCATTGCCCTGTATCTTCCATTATCGTTGTTTATTAACTGGTTCGTTTTGCAAGAAACAATATTTACAGGAATAAAACGCATCGTATTAATCTTTAAATAATCTATTTAGATCGAAGGACCATCTTAACTTTACGGCGTTAAGAAAACTTTTACATTACTTTTACTTACAGAAACTTTACAGAAACTTTACAGAAACTTTACAGAAACTTTACAGAAACTTTACAGAAACTTTACAGAAACTTTACAGAAACTTTACAGAAACTTTACAGAAACTTTACAGAAACTTTACAGAAACTTTACAAAAACTTTACAAAAACTTTACAAAAACTTTACAAAAACTTTACAAAAACTTTACAAAAACTTTACAAAAACTTTACAAAAACTTTACAAAAACTTTACAGAAACTTTACAGAAACTTTACAGAAACTTTACAGAAACTTTACAGAAACTTTATAGAAACTTTACTGAAACTTTACTGAAACTTTACAGAAACTTTATTGAAACTTTACAGAAATTAGAACTAACCGCGACTCTTCACAACTAAGTACTATATTATTCTACATTTTAAATTATTAAATCAACTACCCTTCGAGGGGTCTAACGATACATTCTCGATGAGAAGAGAAAGCAATCGTATTTGTTGTGCACATGCCACTAACAGAGATTATAAATTTTATCTGTTAAACTAGCATTTTCTAGAATTTGTTATTCAAGGAACTATAGTCTCTCAATTTTTCGGTCGGAATTTGACTGGTACAATGCTCGAATTCAGAACTTTTGAGTCGTGATAATAATTTATAACGGAATAATTTACGACGAACTAATTTATTATTCAAGAGCGGTTCAAAGAACGTGACAAAACCCATCTTTTTGTTTTTGATAGTGTGTAGGTATTTGTATTCAAAGTAGTACTATTTGGATTAACAAAATTATTAGGGAAACAGAAAGAAGAGTTTTTACAATATAATTGACATAAAAGATTTATTTCATTTTAATTTGATCAACTAGTTGTAAGATATTTAATTTTTACTGTAACGCCACTGGTAATTTTTAATTCTTTTTGTTCTTCTAATAAATTTCCTAATCCCAATATTACTACTTTGAATACATACATTTACACACAATCAGAAATAAAAAGATGAATTTCGGCCATGAAAATTTTAGTGTTTTTTTTTTTAAATTTTAGCAAATTGTGACTACACCAGAAGATTTAAATTTAATTCCGAAACCTATATAGTGCAGAATTAATTAAAGTATAATCGACCAAAGACTTTTATTTGCCTTTAAAAAATTCTACTACGGTCAGGAAAACATATTCTTTCTACAATACTTAGATATCTGGGAACAATAATAAACAATAAAAAGCGACAAAAATATAGAAATAAAACAAAAAATCCAAGCAGGCCACAAAACAAACATTAAAAATATAAGGACATAATTAAATTAAGAAGATAGGCAATGTGTCTAACTAATAAATATGAAAAAAGACTGAAGGTGTTGGAAAATAATATGACAAAAAAAAAATTGCGAAGGAGTATAGAAAGCTTATGAACACGGAAATAAACACTAAATTAAAAGGATAAGATATAGTGCTTATAAATTTTACAATACTATATTTCCACTCATCACTTGCAACACTTGAGATAACTTAATCATACCCACTGATTTAGAAATTCGATTTTTCATTATATATATATCCGCTAAATTTTTAATTATTTAATCGCAATAAGTATGAAGTATTAGTTAATTGGCACGTGTATGCAAAAATACCTAGTAAGGTACTTGTACCTTCTCAAAATTTTTACCAACCTCCGAGCAATGAATTCGTTAGAAAATATTGCAAGCACAAGTACGCGTAAACGACCTAGTGAACATAAAACATTACCTTTAGAAGAAAAAAATATACCTACTCAATGTATTTAATAATCTGTGTAAAGACTTTGTTTCGGTTTCTGTGGATGAAATAGCCACTAAATATGAGACCTATACAGGAGTATAAGCCCCCAGGAAGAAACATGACCTTTATTGAAACTTGGGTAAAGAATTTAATAAGGCAAATAGTAGTCTTTTTTCTTTCGAAATTAAATTCCTACACATAAAAAATTATACTCAGAAATAAAAAAATAGCTCCACTCATCCAAATATATCATATTTTCATCTGCAAAAAATTACATGAATTAAATTTTCGTTAGAAAAAAGTGACAGAAATATTTTTTAATAGAGAAAGACGAAATCATTACTTGGATACATGATTATTTAAGGAAAATAGAGGACGCAAGAATTCAGAATAAACAAGTATTTTATTTGGATAAAACATGGATTAATGCTGGATATACAGTAATAAAAATTTGGTAAGGCACCTCTATCAAAACAAGGTTTTTTTTGCTGTACGAAAATTCGACACGTTTCGTATAATCTTGGTAAAATCCTACTGCTAACTGCGCCAGTTAAAGGTTTCAAAACCAAAAACGAATTTTTAAAAATTTACTTTATTGCGAATGCTACAAGATGAGAACTAACTAGAAAATTATGTTTTTTCACTATTTATAAACTACGGTTATTCATATCATATGTCTAAGCGTCTATTCTATTCTTCATTATTCTACGTATTCCTGGAATATAACTTTGCTGCCGATAATCCCTACCAGCTCGCGAATGTCCATTGAAAAATCCATAAATGTAAACTATGTGTGCATATTCTTCATCGAAAACAGCACCGGCATGTTGCAAATTTACATTTATTACAAGCAGAAAACGTACTTGACAAGTATACGACTGATAAGTCAACTGTCGTTTATAATAATTATTGAATAACAACCAACATGGCATACTACGTTAATTTATGTTCTGATCTTTGAACGCTTGTAGCTCGGTAACCATGGAGAATTGAATATTTGTTCATAGGATATTTAATTCTTAAAATAAGGTCAGAAATATGATATTGAAGTTTGTACAGTACATCATGTAACACTCTGTATACCGTACTGCGGTGTTAGTTGAATTGGATGTAACTGCATTTTTCTTCGTTTTAAAGTTAACTGTACCAGTGTATATACTGGCAACATGTATATTATGTATGTGAATTTAAACTTAATTTCAGTTTGACAGTACCTACTTATTTTTAAAAAGCTTGCCAAAACTCAGATCATTAAAATTTATTTTAATTAACAGGGCATTGTAAGAAAGTAACTTTTTGCCAAATTTTTTTATGGGTTGTGGAAAATTCCCAAAATATTTAATATTTTTAAATAGGTTACATATTTAGTAGGTTATTATATCTAATTAATATTAGTTGATAATACCCAAAAATATAAGTAGAATTTTTCCTTGTTTTTGGTGATTTTATTAGAAATTATCCTATAAAACTGTAGAGTATAAGTTGGTTAGTTAGTCGCGATTTTATTGTCAGAGTTGTTAAACATTTATTCGCTTCTAAAAGGCTCATAAGTTTACTATAAAACCATTCGAAATTGTAAATTCATGCTAATGTAGGTATTTACTTTACTTTTTGTTAATCCCAAATCTGCAAATTGGTTTTCCATTAGTAAAAACATATTGTCAGATGAGTTTTAAGTTAGTAATACAAAACGAAAATAGTAATAATTGCTTCTATTTTCTTTAAAAAAATAAGGTAAAGCTGTGTTTGTAAGAATTTGTACATGGTAAATCGGGTAAATAATATAATTAAACAAGTTTGTTGAAAATTAAAATATTAACACATAACTATAATAGACAAGGATAACCCTTACGGCAAGATAACCACCGAAAGAGAAATCCTTGTCAAAAAGACACTGATGGGAGAGCTGGACAAAACAATCTTGTCCGCCTCCTGCAGCAAAACCAAGCCACCCACATTCAGGTCTTGGTCGCACTCTGGTGAAATCATCAGAGTAACCTGCGACGATGACCTGACGTTGAAATGGCTAAAAACCAAGGTACCGACCTTAAAAACATGGGAAGGAGCAACACTCGCAGTTGTAAGGATGGACCAGCTCCCCAAGCTCACCAAACCCTCTCTCTGGATCCCAGGGGAAGAGCAAGCTGACCTTGACGAGAGATAGATTGTGCTCAGGTGACTTGAGGGGCAAAACCCAAACTTGCCTGTGGCGAAATGGTGCTCCTTCCACCATGAAATCAAAAAAGACCCTAAGGGCCATCTCTTCGTCTACGACATCGGAGACGAAGACATGGGAACCCTAAAGGCCAAACCAATGAGGATGAGCTATGCGTTCACTTCATTGATTATAAGACCCAAGATCGAAAAAGAGGCTGAAGCGGGGCCCAGTGAAGACTCCTTTGTAAAGACCCTCTTCCCCCCAATTTACGCCAACGGTGGAGGACGTCGAGCCAGAAAAAATGGTAATCGATGACCTCCAGCAAGAAAATTCCGAGGAGCCACAAGAGACCACGCCCTCCCCACTTTCGGAGGAAGGGATTTTTTTTTTTTTTTTTTTTTTTTTAATGGCACTGGATATAACCAAAAGGCCAGACTATTGTAGTAATCCATAAATCTTTAATTGTTTTATCCACTATTGTTACATGATTACATTATTATTATTATATTTTGACTTACAGCTATCAAAATACCTGAGTTTGTAATTAATTATAAAAAATGTCTATTTTTTTATTATTTGTTTTTTTGATTATTTTTTTTTGTATTATTTTTTTTTGTATTATTTTTTTTTTGTATTATTTTTTGTTTTTTTTTTCATTTTTTCCTTGGTTTCATTTTTTTATTTTATCATTTATTTTATTTTTTCGTTTCAGGTTTACAATATTTTTAGGGTAGCTCAGCTACTTACAATCTTGTATTAGTTTTTTTAACAAATTCATACAATATTTTATAAACTTTAACATCGTTTAATGAAAGCAGAACATCAATGTTTATTGGTAGAGGTATACCAATATTAACTAATTCTAAGTACATTGTGTCAGTATCTAACGAATTTAGGACACACTCTAAAATTATATGATTGAGATCAGCAATTTCATCACAAATTAAACATAAATTATTATCTGATAGACCAAATTTTTCCTTGTAAGTAGGATGCATAGCATGATTACTTCTCATACGACAAATAACTCGGATAAAAGACCTATTTATTTCGTTTTTGAACCAGGGACACTTTGGAATATTAGGTTGAATGTTTTTGTATTTCTTCCCTTTTTCTTCTTTAGAATATGCATCTTGCCAAGTTTTAAACATTGATAATTTAGATTTAGCAATAAAATCTGATTTTGGAGTTTTAATATTTTTATTAGTTCCCGAAACAGTAGCCTTTTTTGCTAGTATATCCACTTTCTCATTGTTACTAATACCTACATGAGATTTTATCCACGCCAACGAAATTTCTTTATTTTGTTCCAAACATTGATAGTTAATCTTAAGAATTTCTGAGGCTATATAGTTGGTAGGACTGGTAACGTTCCATTTTGCAAAATATTCTACTGCACTCTTACTATCAGTAAATATAACATATTTAGATTTATTTTCCTGAAGACATACGTTAAAAGCTTCTTTTATAGCAACAAGTTCAGCATTGTATATTGACATTGTACTGGGAAGTTTAAATGAAATTTCATAATTTTTGTTAGGATACAAAATTGCACATCCTAATTGGTTCCCAATTTTAGATCCGTCCGTATATATGTTTTCAAATGTATCCCATTTTGTTATTAAATCTTCTTTAAATGTGTTTTTAATCACTAGAGGGTTTTCATTCAGTAGATTTTTGTTTATATATGTTTTCAATGGCGTTGTTAAAGCTGAAAAATGTAAGGACCATAGTGGAATTGCATTTTGTTGATGGAGGTCTGGAATCATTTCAATGGTAGATAAAAAAGTCTCTACTAGTAAAGGAAGTTTTTTCTTTGACCAATACTTTCCAGTTAAACACAGAGAAGATAAATTGGATAAAAGAGGGAGAAGAACCGAATTTTTCGCCCTTTGATTTATTAAAAACTTTTCGGATAAAAATTTTCTTCTAAAATTGAGAGGAGGTTCTGTAGTTTCTGATTCTATTACATTAATTGGAGTACTTGGGAGAAAACCTATACTTAATCTAAGACATTTGTATTTTATTCTGTCCAATTTTTGCAAATGAGTATTTGATGCATCATTGTATAATATTGCACCATAGTCAAAAATTGATCTAATCAGCACCCTATAAAAAAGAATTGCTATGTTGGGGTCTGCACCCCAATTATATTTGGAAACAGTTTTTATTAAATTTACAGCATTTTCTGTTCTTTTTACAATATAATTAATATGTTCTTTCCAGTTTAGCTTCTTGTCCAATATGACACCCAAGAATTTATGACTACTTTTAAGTTGAAATTGACAATTTCCTAGTGAAGCAACATTTGAAAGTTGAGTTCTTTTCCTTGTAAAGCAAACTACCGCTGACTTGTTTTCTGAAATTGTTAGACCATTTTCAAACAACCATTTCTGTATGTCTTCTACACCTAATGATAGTTGATAAATACTAGAATCAATACTTTTATGCTGAGTATACAAAACAATATCATCAGCAAATTGAAGAATTTTTGTAGGAATAGATATATGTCGTTCCAAATCTTGAGTATAAATAAGGTATAGAAGTGGACTTAAAACGCTTCCTTGAGGAAGACCAAATGAAGTTTCTCTAGGTCCTAT